ACACCCACACGCCCACACACACACACACCCCCCCCCCCCCCCACACCGCCTCACACACACACACACCGGCTCACCCACACACACACACACACACACATCTGTCCCTCTCCATCCAGCTGCCTCAAAGTGAGAAACAGTCTGTTGGTCCTGACAGCATCAAAACTCCCACTTTAATGGCCCAAATAGGGACACACACATTAGCCTGTGTGTGTGTGTGTGTGTGTGTGTTTGTGTACCTTGACCCTGCGGATGGCGTAGCTGTGTCCCAGCAGCTGACTGACAGGCTGTGTGACGTTCCTCAGGTCCCACACACACACGCTGCAGTCCACTGATCCTGTAGCCACCAGATTCTGCAAACAGATTAAAATAATCCGAGTTAAAACAATTATTTTTATTCTAATTTTGCTGTTAATTTCAGGTGAAAATGAAACCAAGTTAAACTCTGATCAGTGATCAAACAGAGTTATGTGATCGATTAGTCGTGCCTGACCCACCTGGTCGTATTTGCACCAATCACAGCTCAGGATCTCAGCTTTGTGAGCAGGAACAGCCAATCGGCACGCAGCGGCCTTCACATCCCAGACCCTGAGCGTCCCATCGCCTGAAAGCAGATGCAGGTTTTACCCAGCATGCACTGCGTCAGGACAGCCAAAGCGATAACCTGATGCAGGACTACAGATTATTAATTCCTCCTCAAACTTCCCCCAGGATAAAGCAAAAAAACTTCCTGATGATGTCAGAGCTGCAGCGGTGAAACAGAGATTAAACTTTTCACCTCCAGGCAACACGGAGAGAGGAGGCTGGGATTACAGAACAACAGGGGGCGTGGCTTAAAGGGGCGTGGCCAAAGACTGGCTCATGATGCTACAGGGGGCGTGGCTTAGAGAGAGCCGGAGGGGCGTGGCTTCCTGTCTGTCAAACATGAAGCAGGCTGGAGCAGAAAAAGTTTTACAGTTTCTGCAGAGCAACATTTCTCAGACAGACTGAACAATGAAACGTTTCTCTGGTTTTATGAAGCCATCTGACCCCAAACAGTTGCCGCCGATTGCAGGTCAGTGAGCTTCGCTCCATTACTAAACTATCAGCTGAACATTTAAAAACTGACATAAATGAGAATAAAACCTCAAAAAGCTTCACTTCATGAGTCGATTTCTGAAAGTTTGATGATTTTTATTTCTAAATGTTCAGTTGGCCAAAACATGAACTGAGAGCTAAAAGCTAAACATGTCGACTGCAGGAAGTCCTGAGGCGGTGCCGTGTTAGAAACCTTCATTCATCAGAACAACCCAGACTCTCAGCTGCTTTAGTCAGCCGCACTAATCAGTTTCTGATCATTTGCTGCACAGAGGAGGTTAAAGAGCAGAAATGAACATCAGATTAAACATAACAGTTGCTCCTCTTCCTCACTCACACAGAGACGCTGCTGGGAGAACACACACAACCAGGTCTGCAGGCGTGTGTGTGTGTGTAAGTCCTCTGTTAAACCTGCTATCTGTGCTGCATCAGCAGCTTCTTTCATCATCACTGATGTGAGACGGTTCTGAACCGTACACACACACACGTCTCTGGAGAATCGTTTCCTCCAGCTGGTTTTGCTGAGGCGACGTTTCGTGGCTCTGAGGTTAGCGGTGCGTTCTCATTGTTGGAACCAGAGATGCTAAAGCTACATCGCTAACAGCAGCCATGAAGCTTCTTGTCTGGGTTCATTTCTGCTTCTAATCGATCTGATTGGACGCTGGAAAAGACTCTTGTCTTCAAGCTGTGCTAACAGGAGTTAGACTAACCCGAAATAGCATCTTGATGCTAACATGTAGCAGCTAGCGCTAATGTCCACATTTCTACAGGAGCTCCATGTTTCAGGGCTTCCTGAAACTCTTTGCTGATGGTTGAAGAATCTGAAGATTATTCATGAATTTAGCAGCACAAAACGTTTTGAATTGAAAATGTTGCTGACTTTGTTGATATAATTACGATTAGTGTTTGGGATTTAAAAAGCAGCCTGGAAACCCCGCCCCTTTCCTCAGTTGCTTAGCAACCAGCACAGCCGGGATGGGTGCAATTTGGAGGTGTGTGCTTCCTGTTAGCCGTCTGGCTACTGGAAGCTGAGCAGAGTCAAGTCTAGATCGCTTCAGTGCTGCACATGCTCAGAACGGCCATAGAGCCAGAGGAGACCTTCGACCTTCTGGTCTCAGTCCCTGTGCAGAAACTCATGATGTTTCGCATGGCGTCTAAACTCTGCTTACTCTGATCTAAATGGATTAAAGGAAAGAAGAGCAAACAGATTAAATATGAGGATAAAGTCGTCCCACACAGAGACGCTCTGATTGGCTGACGATCATCATCCTGACCAACCAGAGCAGCTCCCACCTGATCCGTCCTGTTCTGCTGCAGATAATCCCCGCTTCTTTTTCATCTGCATGTTTTGAAACAGCCTTTATCTCATTAGCCGAGCGGCGTTGAGGCGGATGGCAGCGAGTGTGTAGGTGAGCAGGAAGCTGCCAGCCGCGGCGCGGCGCGCCGCCTTCACGGCTAATCCGCAGCAACGAACCGCCGCGCCGCGCGGGCGGCATCGGAACAACCACAGGAACAAAACCGCCATCAGCTTCTGAGGGGAGTTTAATGCAGTGACTGAAAACACACGCAGCTCCGGATGCTTTCACTGAAAATGTGTCCAATTCCAGAGGAAGTTTAAAGATTTTAAGCTCTGGTGAATCCATGCAGACGGTAAAAATACTTTTTCAGATGTTTTCAGTGTTTCTCCTCCAAACTGTCCAGTTAATGGATGCAGTGGTGAGGCGCTAAGGTTGTTTAGAGATGGGCAGCTCATTGGGACGCTGTTGCTCTTTGACCAGCACTTTGACCCAGAAGGCTTTCCGCTTTAGCATTTCTGCTAACCTTAGCAATCTTTAGCGCACTTAGCTTCCCCCAATTTAGTTTTTCCAGATAAATTCTAGAGCACTAATTTACTTTGCCATTTTCCTCTGAGTCAAAGTTTTGGTTATAAACTGTTATGAATTATTTAAGTAGTTAGACATCTATAAACTGACAGAACCAGACAAACATGAAACAATGTCTGAGGGTATTATCCTCTACCCAGAATGCATTGCTGCAGTGGCAGTGAACCGTTTACTAAAGCAAAACTATACAAACCTTTTTTTTTAAAGCAAATTTGAAACATTGACATTGTACACAAACATAAGAAGAAAAGTAAAGAAAATAAATAAATAAAATAAATATGCCAGGGGGATTTTATACATAGTGACAAGAAAATCATCTCGATAGAATTACAAGATATTAAATTAATAAATGTATAGTTTTCATGGCTTTTGGATTATTAGAAGACATGAGATGATTGTACATATTCAATTCTTTAATGAAGATGGAGAATAAAGGTTTGATTTTGCTGAACTTGCTTTTATGTGTAAAGTATTTAGCAGGAAGTAAAATGAGATTGATGACAAAAAGAATCACAGTCGTTCTCGTCAGAAGCAGCAAAGCCAGAATAACAGATTAAAACTGAGCAGGAAGTATAAGCTCCTCACATCGTCCTGTTTGGTGGAGCCCCAAACTAATGATTCATGTCTTCAGCCTGAGTCGCACAGAAAGAGGTCAATATTTGTCTTGAATCTACACGTTTCCTGTTGTGCGGCGCCTGTGGACTAGTTTACGGAGCGTCTTTAACTTGGTTAGTTGACGAGGCAGAGACCAAACCGTCTCC